ATATATAAATCTATGTTTTATGTTATAAAATACACATACATATGATTATTAAAATTGTTTATAGATTTTGTTTTTAACTATTCAGCTAATTTGTAAATCAAAATTTTAGGTTGAGTTTTGTATATTTTCTGTTAAACATTTTCTATTTGTAGCACAAAAGCGAAACGAAAAGAAATAATTGTAATAAGTTGCTGAATCACTAAATAAACTATCACTACATTAGCAGTATAATTAATACAAATAAAATGCTCCTGCAAATTAGTTAAATTTAGTTACATTTACATTTGTATATCTAATCAAAAATGAGCAAAAATTCAAGTAAATTGAAAATGAAATTTGGTAAAGAAATCGATATTTTATCAGCTTGGGCTGTGTGTCCTTAGATCCACATCAACAAGAAACAACAAATATTGTGAAAATATGCATTACATTAATAATACTAATCATAAACTAAAAAAAAAAAAAAAAAAAAAAAAAAAAAAAAAAATATGAAAACATTAAACTCTTAATAACATACTTAGTATATTATGTGGCATGTTTATTGTATAATAATCATAATAATATAAATTTAAATTATTACGCGAAAGTTTCATCTATGTAAAATCCCCTCAATCGTTCTGTCTATTTGTTTATGGAATCTCTTGCAATTTTATATATACATGTATGCTGATATACCATACTGTATATGTATATAAATAGATAATCAGCAAATCAAAGCAGCAGCTTAAGAGAAATTTTTTATTTACTGATGCATATTAACAACAATATACAGTTTACTTAATTCTTTATGTTTATCTGTAATGTCTAATACGTTTCTTGTTTCATAAGAAACTTGTACAATTTTGCTTTAATACTTACTTTTATTTTGCACACGCAGAGACACACACACGTACACGTCCACTTAAATTTACAATTAATTTAAATATAAAGTTATTACTTTTTTAAAAGAACGACAAATCTTAAGTAAAATTTATACATAACACTTTTTGTCAAACAAATTTTAAGTTAGCAAAAAAAAAAAAAAAAAAAAAAAATCATATACAAAAATCGCACGAACACGTAATATTTAAAAGGAATGGAGTTGCAGATTGAGATGAATATAAAACTTTTAATAAAAGTGAAAAATTATACAAGCTTTTGGTTTTTACATCAATGTTAAATGTGTTTCTATCTCAATGTTAATTTATAACAATTGCTAAATTTTTTTTTTTTTTATTTGAAATTTGAAATCTGGAAAAGCTGATGGATCCGACAATAGATTAGCGTGTGTTACTCAGAACATGAAATGGTTTGATAACACATTTCCGTTTTATAAACACGTCCTACTAAAACTAGATCTAATAATATTATATCATGCAGCTAGCTCTTAGGTATATAAGACCTTATCGACGCAATAACGAATTGACTTTGATTTGAAACGTTTATCGAATCCCAAAAATGCGAATTACGACTGTAGTTGCAAGCATATTGTTATCAGTATGTGCCACTTCTGTCAGCAAGGTAAATCTAGAGAACCTAGTATTTTATATAAACGGCAAATATAAGCATACCTGAAGACATTTTTCCAACAGCGCCATTTCGATGCTCTAATTCTGTCTTTTGCTTCTAACTCTACGGATGAGAGCAAATCAAAAGTTGATCTGCGTGTCGACCGAGTCTCTCATGGCGAAACTGTTTTAAATGGGATTTGGGAATGGCAATTTGATGTAGACAATACTACGATGGTAATGTTAATGGGCCTTACTAATTTAAATTGGTCACAAATGACGGACCTATTTTTGTGCCCATTATTTTTCTTTACATAAGTTGGAAACGACATTCTATAGCTCCGATAGTGGATCTGAGAATGAATATAAGAAGTTACCCCATGGTATTCCACCAATTAGCTTTGAAGAGTTTTTGGACCAGCACTACAATGATATTATATATGAAAATTTTAAAAATTGCTCAAACCTCAAAGCATATAAAAACAAAGTGGAAACGCCCTGGCAAAAAGGAACTTACACATTTAATCAATGCCGGCCGAAAGGACATGGGATGCCCGAAATTTTAGCCGATGGCTTCTATAAAATATATATCCGACTAAGCGCTGATCCTGAAATCCATATGGTTGTTGTTTTCAAAATCTCTAACACTTTTTATTAACTGAAATCCGCAAATGGTTTTAATATTTATATATTCAATTTTAATGCAATAAATATTAAAAGAGCATATTTTGGATTTGTAGATTCTTTGAATAGGTCAATTTCGGGAGATCTCTACTGCCTGATGACCGATTAAGTGTTATCCTGTATCAAGTGCTAAGAAATATAGCATTATAATTATATTGTAAATATATTTTACTTTGCTATTTAAAAATGATCAATTATTTAAATTTCCAGTATCAAGTCCTAGCCTCAATTGCGGAAATGGTTTACAATTTGCTTGCGTATTTACACATTTATTCTTTTGTGATTTTTATTTATTTTTTATTTTCTCATTTGCCAAATAACTTAATAAAGACTAACTATCGTTGCAGATTATAACTTAACTTCATGCATGGATCAATTGCATTACTGAAGGCCTAAATTTAATCAGGATATATCTTAACGGTCGAGTTGATTTCTACTTTTGCAGCCGTCTCGTGGCGCGTCGTATGGGTCGGTTTTCCGGAGTGGTGGGCGGTGCAAAGCGATTCATCTGCTGGCCAGGCATGCCCGGAGCTGATGTCGGCGTGGAAGGAGCATTAGCGCCGCTACCAAAGGTAAAAGGCGCTGAGCCATTCATAGACGGCGCTGGGTTGCCAAATGTAAACGGTTTATTGGCCGCATTGACCCCGCTGGCCTGCGGTGATGTGATACCACCAAAAGCAAACGGCGCATTGGCATTTCCATTGGTTGCGCTGCTGCTGTTAGCCGTGTTGCTAGCGCCAAAGGAGAAGCCACCAGGCTTAGTCTGCTGCTGGTTCTGTACAGCGGACACTGCGCTGGCGAACAAGTTTCCGCCTTGATTTGCTCCATTGCTGGGAGTGGCACTGCTCCCAAACGTAAACAGTTTCTGATTGTTGGCAGCAGAAGGCGCCGGTGCTGCTGCCGGTGCCGGTGCCGCTGCCGGAAAACCACCAAAGCCGTTGCCTGTCGTGGCTGCGCCCGCTGGAGTTGCTGCTGCTGTTCCTAATGTTGTGTTGCCTCCAAAATTAAAGCTTGGCTTCACTCCACCGGCTCCGACGGCTAATGGTGATTTAAACAAATTTGTAGATTCGCTTTTTGGAGCCACAGCTGAAAATGAAAAGCCGCCCACTGCTGGTGCTGTCTGCTGCTGCTGTTGCTGTTGTTGCTGCTGCTGTTGTTGCTGCTGCTGCTGTTGCTGCTGCTGCTGTTGCTGCTGCTGTTGCTGCTGCTGTTGCGTGCTCTCAGTGACACCAAATGTAAATGGTTTGCTTTCTGTTGCATTGCTGGCTCCGAATAAGGGCGTTGACTTATTTGGTGCACTGAAACTGAATGCATTTGTAGCTGGTGCACCGCCCACTGATACAGCAGAAGCTGATCCACCAAAATTAAAGGCGCTGGGCACTGCAGCTGGTGCTGCCGTGGCTGGTGTTGCTGCCATTTTTGCTCCATCGCCGCCAGCGCCAAAGCTAAATATATTGTTGCTGTCGCTTTTGTTAGGCAGCGTAAAAGGCGTGGCTTTAACCGTGGGCTTGCTGTCACCGCCAAAAGCAAATATATTCGAGTTGTTTGCTGCTGGTGTTGCGGCTGAAACTGCATTGGTAGTTGAAGTAGTTGCACTAGCGGCAGAAGCAGAATCAGTAGCAGTTGCTGTGCCACCAAAGTTAAATGCAGGCTGTGCTGTTGCTGCTGTTGTTGTTGTTGCTGTTGAGCTACCGAATACGACAGGAGCGGCTGGAGTTTTGCCGAAACTAAATATTGCTGGCGCGGCTGGTGCGGCTGTTACTGCAGCTGCTGGTGTTGCAGGAGATTTAAAGCCGATGGCAAAGCTGTTGCTATTGCTGCTGCTGCTGCCAAAAGGCGTCGATTCCTTGGGCTGAGATGCTGCTGGCGCAGCTGTAGTAACAATTGTTGCTCCTGTTTCACTGTTACTGTTGCTGCTGCCAAATATGAGAGGATTGTTGCTGGTTGCTGCTGTAGTTGTAGCTGGAGCTGTGCCAAAACTGAACACGGAAGTGCTTGCTGCTGTTGTTGTTGGCGCAGTTGCTGATGTTGCAATTAACGTACTACTTGTTGCCGCACCTGATGCAGGCTTCCCAAAGTTAAACGTAAGGGGTGCTGATGGCGCTGCCTGTACTGCGGTTGATGCTGCTGCTTGTGCGCCTAATCCTGCTCCTGTTGCTTGTGCATTATTTGCGCCAGTGCCAAATGTAAATGGTGTTTTCGCTGGATCCGTTGTTGCTGGTGTTGCTAGTGTTTCTGTTGGTGCTGGAGTCTGTTTTACATCTGTTGCCGCTGCCGGCTTGCCAAAGGTAAATGCAGGCAACCCAGTCGATCCGGCTGTGGTTGTAGCTGTCGTCTTCGAATTCATAAACGTTAACACAGGTGTAGATTCTGCTGTTGTTGTAGTTGCTGGCTTCTCTGTTGCTGTTGGCAATGTAAATCCTAGCACAGCACCTGTTCCAATTGTTGCATTTTCGTTCGATTTTCCTGGTAACACAGACAATGTGCTATTGTTGGCGGTAGTTGGCGCTGGTGTTGGTGCAGACATTGTTGTTGCCGCCGTTGTTGTCGTCCGTGCTTCTGTTTCAGTTATTGTAGATACACCTTGAGCGGGGGCGGTTGATACGGTAGCAGTGGCTGGTATAGTCGGTTTCGTCGATGCAGTGTTCGTTGTTACATTTGTGTTTGTTGCTAGATTTGTATTTTTTGTTGTCGGTGCGACAGAAGATGGGGTTGTGGAAGTATCTGCTTCATCAGCTGACGTTTCATCTTGAAAGATTTCACCCCGCAGACTACTCAACATCAAAGCCAGCTTCGTTTTCTGTGTACGCTCCAAATGGGAGTTTTTGCTGGTGACAAGTGATTGATCCTGTTTGGGCCTCACAAACTGTATGCCCGCATATTCGTTGGCATCCACATCGGGACTATCCAAGTCAACCTGCTCTTGAGTGTGTTGTTGTTGTTGTTGGGGCTCTGGTGGTTCTTGCTGCTGCTGCTTCTGTTGCGGTTGTCGTTGTTGTGCATTGAACAATGTCAATTTGGGTTTGTGGTCGTACTTGGCCTCTACCAAGGGAGCGGACGCCGCGCGCTGGGCTGGAGTAGCTGGCAGTGGAGTGATCGGCGTGCTCTGCGTCCTAGTCAAATTCTCTAAATGTAGATCCGTTGTAGCCGCCTGACTTCGCTGTATCTTTGCCACCTGTGGGCGCGGCGAAGTTTCAGGTGAGCTACTGTTGTTGCTGCCGTTGCTGGCATTGTCGTTGAGTGCGGACGTATTGCTAGCTGAACGCATGTCATATAGCTTCCGCTTATTGCTATGCAGCTGACTGGAGCTTAATGAGCTTGCGATGTCATTGCTGTAGCTGCAATTACGGCGCTTGGCCTGCTGCTCCGGTGACTGCTGTGGGGAAATCCTCTCAGGAAAATGATGTGGAGACATATGTAAAGTGTGATGTTGATGCTGGTGAGGCAGCGCTATGGCCGTATGTTGCAAACGGCGTGGTACTGTAACAGTCAATTCACGCTGTCGCTTGAAACCCGACTGAGATTGCAGCATGGATAACTGATGCTGCTGCGGTTGGTGCTGCTGGTGTAAATGATGATCCACATAGTCAGTTAAGCGATTACAGCTCTTTTTACTAGTGTAATCGTTAGGTTGTATTTCCTGCAAATAATTTGTATTAGTTGAGCCAAAGCAGTTTCCACCATGGCAGTCACCAATGGTTAGACGTTGACTTACACCGCTATTGATGCGCTTGCGTGATATCTCCTTCAGCTCCTCAAGGACACTGCGCGTGGGTTCGCTTTCGTGCTGCAGCGGAGGTGGATGCATAATTGGACGATTCTCTCTCGACAACTGCTGGTCACTTTTTTTCTCCACGCCAACCAGCGAATTCGAGCGCAGCAAGCTGGGCAATGTGTTGCCACAGTAGAAGCTTCGCTCAGGCGGCGCTATACGTGTTATAGACACTGATGGCAGGTTGGGCTTATGGGATAGAGGCGATGAAACTATACTACAACGGCGTGGCTGCGTAAGTGGATTATAAATATTATTATAGGAGATGCTGCGTTGCAGACCACGGCCACCAGTGCTACGGTCCCGCTGGTATTCCACAATACGCGACGCTAATCCGCTGCTGTTTACGTCCGCAAACGTTCTAAGTGGGAGAGTTATTATAATTATAAGTATAAAGTATTATATGCATTACTTACTTGGGATCCATATGACTGAGATTTAGCCGTTGTCGTGCCGTTTTAGATACACTCGATGTTCTCGATGTTGTATGTAGACTCCTATTTTGCGGTGAATCATTTGTAAAGCTATTGCTTAGACAAAGGCTCGAGTTGTTGTGCTCCCTCGATATAGAGCTCCTTTGCATTTGCTGTGTCATTGATCGCTGCGTCCTGGAAAATAAAGTTTAGCATTAACAATGTACATTGATAAATTAATTTATTTTAATTTATGCATACGCAGACATGCCACCAATCCATGTGGAATCAGCCATGGGTTTTGACAAACGAGGCGAATTGCTTAAGCCGTAACGATGTTCCATGGCTTTGTTTCTGTGGATGTACTATATACGTAATAGTCAGTTTTTTCTGGGTTAATATGGGCACCAAACAATTATGTTTGAGAATCAAACTTACAGATGTCGAGTGAAACGTTTGTTACAATACTTGGTGAAACAACAAAAAACACGCCAAGCAGGCCTTACGAGTTGCGCCTTTGTACTAGCTATCGATAAGTAATAGCGTCCGGCTGCGATAATAAGAACATGCAACTCTGCCGATTTTGACAATGCATGGTAACCCTGTCAATTTCCGTCCTCCATCTTTCTGCATTGGGTTTTCACGATGGTGAGTTCGGCTGCTAAGGTTTTTTATACTTTTTAAATGGTTTGCAGCATGGAAATGGCATTTAAGTGATGGATATACTGTAATAAACTGGCGATAATGTGGTGGGCTATAAATTAAGTTACATTTGTGAAGCCAAACATGTCGGAATCTACCTGTGCGTGCAGCAAACAAACGAGAGATCCATAACCTCGAAAGTGAACGTTTTCAAATCATATGTGCATACCAAAATACACATAATTTATTTTGAAATTACATATATACCCATTGTACATAATATGTGTTTGTTTATTCGTAACAGCCGCCTAAGAAGGACGCAAAGTCGTCGGCCAAGCAGCCGCAAAAGACACAAAAGAAGAAGGAGGGCTCCGGTGGCGGCAAGGCCAAGAAGAAGAAGTGGTCCAAAGGCAAAGTCAGGGATAAGCTGAACAATCAAGTTCTGTTCGATAAGGCCACCTACGAGAAATTATACAAGGAGGTGCCCGCTTATAAACTGATCACACCCTCGGTTGTCTCTGAGCGATTGAAGATCCGTGGCTCTTTGGCCAAGCGCGCTCTAATTGAGCTGCGCGAAAAGGGTAAGGGAACATAATCTGATTGGTGCACATATAGAGCATAATTTCAAAACAAACTATTTCTAGGTCTCATTAAGCAGGTCGTGCAGCATCATTCCCAGGTCATCTACACACGTGCCACCAAGGGTGATGAGGCGTAAATTTAGTTTTACCACACATCTACAGTGCCGCACGCGATTTTACAATATAACAATTGATTGTATGGAAGTACCAAGGCTCTGCTACATGTAGTAGAATGTTGAATAAACTTGCTTTTTGATGTAAGAAACATGAGTGTAACATTTGATTGTATTGCATTTTGAAATACCAGAGGGAATGGGAATGTTTTAGTTTATTTAAGCATAAGCTGTATTGCAGCTTATAGGCTATTTACTACATACTTTTTAAATTAAATATTTGTTTGAGTAGACTGCATACACGGGTTCGATAGTTTTGTGTGAATGCCAATATCGTTAGTTGTGCAACCCTGTTGACGGAATGAATGTTTACTGGGTAACCAGACGTCTATTTTGATGACAACACGGCAGATTGGTGCGGATTGTGTTTTCGACTGATTTAAAAAAGAAAATGAATTAAATTGCAAGTCCTCAGTAAAATAAAAAAATTCAAAAACAAAAGCGGTACTGCCAACACCTGTGTAAATAAACGGCTGTCTGAGCGGCACGTTGACGCAGCAGGAAACGTTGCGTGCGGCTATTTACACAAAAAAGTTGCCGCCGACGCTGCAGAGAAATTCTTAAAGCGTTTAAAGCAGCAGCAGGTGGAGTGGGCCCAGGCTTAGCCCAGCGATAATACCACGTATGCAAACAATTACGAGCTAAATTAATGTGTGTATGTGTGTGTGTGCGTGTTGGTCGTGTGTGTGATAACAACAGTAAAGATTTTTTTTATTGTTTCATATCTCTGTCTCAGCACATTCTACACGTTTACCGCTAAAATGATACCATTAACGCACAAGGATCGCAGCAACTTTGGCTACCGAGTGAAGGAGAAGCTGAACAGCTGGAAACGCCTGATCTTCGCCGATCCCAATTCTCGTAACTTGTTTCTCTTTTTGATGCTCAATCTTAGTTTTGCCTTCGTGGAACTCTTCTATGGCATCTTGACAAATAGCTTGGGTTAGCATAACGAACATATTTATATTGTATTACTTATAAGGTTCATAACTATATTTATGTTTATAATCAGGTTTGATCTCGGACTCGTTCCACATGTTCTTCGACTGCACGGGGCTGCTAGCTGGTTTGGCTGCCTCGGTCATAACGAAATGGAAAGCGAATGATAAGTTTTCCTATGGATATGTGCGGGCCGAGGTACTAGCTGGCTTTGTGAACAGCTTGTTTTTGCTCTTCATTGCCTTCTTCATACTTTCCGAGGGCGTCGAGCGTCTCATAGAGCCGCCCGAAGTGAAGCATGAGCGGCTGTTTGTGGTGTCTGTGCTAGGACTTCTTGTCAATCTCGTAGGTATCTACGCGTTCAATCATGGCGGTCATGGCCACTCGCACGGCGGCGGCGGCGGAGGACATGGGCACTCTCACGGCGGAGGGGGCGGAGCACATGGACACTCTCATGGACACAGTCATGACGCTCATTCTAATCACAATCATCAGGCTATCTCTATGGACAATGGTAAAGAGTTGCTATAGGCGTAGTTTGCCAATAACTGTATCTCTCTCTCTCTTGCTATGGTTTTCCAGGTCACGGACACTCACATGATCACAGCATGAGCCATGGACACTCGCATGATCTTGGTACTGGAAGCAATTCGCAGATCATGCGCGGCGTCTTTTTGCACATATTGGCCGATACGCTCGGCTCGGTGGGCGTCATCATTTCTGCAGTGCTCATGCAAATGTTTGGCTGGATGATAGCGGATCCAATTTGCTCCATATTCATAGCGCTGCTTATTGGGCTTAGCGTGCTCAGCTTAATCAAGGAATCCATACTGATACTGATGCAACGCCAGCCAACCGCACTGGATCGTTCGCTGCTGCAGTGCTACCAAAAGGTGACTGGCTTGGCTGGAGTCTATTCGGTGCAAGAGCCGCACTTCTGGACGCTTTGCTCAGATGTCTATGTGGGTGCCATCAAGCTGGAGGTATCGAAGAATGTGGATCCCACGTATGTGGTAACGCATACGCGCATGATCTTTGAAGCGGTGGGCGTAAAACAGATCTACATTCAGCTCGACTATGTGTGATCCAACTTCCTCCTGTCCATGTATATATATGTTATTATATATATATAAACACTATGTATATTGAGCAGCGCGAGAGTTGTGTGTGCGTATTTGTAGTACGATGATAATTATGTGCTTTTATTTACCCAAATTTTAGTTTAGTAGGCTAAATGCACTATAAAATAACAAAAACAAGCTGTAAAATGTAAATCTAATTAATTGTGAAAATTTTGTTAATTTATTTTCTACTTAAATTTGTTAAAATGATTCATTCCAACATTATCAAAGCGAAGCAAAGTGAATGTAGTGCAACAATTCAGCAACTGCTGTCTATATAGAATCCTAGTATAATTGTAATATATAAGTCCAAAACTTGTGCATTCTTCATGGTACATGGAGTTTATTTAGTCTTTTTTTATGATTGGACAGAACAAACCTACTTCATATACATATGTACGAAAAGTTTGACTGAATAATACACACATCTACCAAAATTCCATTGTTTAAATGGAAATGCGAATCAAAATTGCAATAAGCCACAGTTTTTGCTGCATCAAAATACGAACGAAATAAAATAGAATTTGTTAAAATCGTTTTTATAAACAAAGAATGGTTTAGTTTTTTTTTTCTCAGGAGTACTTTCTGGCCAGGCTATCAGAAATTCCATATTCCTGTCTAAGAAGATAACATCCCATAAACAGTAACTAACTTTAAGAAATATCTTCATTTTGAGAAAGAGCTTAATAATGAATATTAAAATATTATCAAAACTAACAAATAAAAATAAA